CATAAAATTCTTTATTGTATGTGGTGTACCTTTGTTTTGTATCATTAAACTTCTATTAAAGTAGACGATTGCATCTGTCTTGACTACGTACGCCATCAATACTACTTGAGATACATCACAAGCTACTTTAAATACGTCGAAGAAGTTTGAAAGATATAACGTTGGTGTTCTTATCAATTTCTTCTTAATAATCTTAAAAACTCTAGACGTTGTCGCAGTTCAAACAAATTCTTCATCCAGTTTGTAATGAGTGTCATCTTTTATCTTGAATGTTATTTTTCATTCATCTCTTGGGCTTATGAGAATTTGGTGATATACACTCTTTAAATCTATCTTGAAAAAGTATGTCGAGCCTGCCATGAGATCTAACATCTCACTAAGGCAAAGTATGGCAAACCTATACTTGATGGTAATCTTGTTGAATGAGCATAAACTTTCTCATATTGACCCTTTAGCCAGTAATTTTGCTTAAGCTCAACATATTCACGTGGATTCATATGGTATGTTGGTATGTTAGGCAATTGAGATCTTAAAGCTAAGTCAATTACACGTTGAACGGTATGTAGTCAAGGAAGTTCATTTGACAAGTCGAGTGGAATAATATTAGAGAAGTCAGACAGTAGCCTACTTACTTCTGGTGGTGGTGTTTATTTTGAACATGTTACTGGTTCCTTTACCTCTCGACTTACTGTAACATAAATAATTTTTTATTCTTTGTTTTTCACTTTGAACTATTTTCTTGACAAAAGATGATGTTATTTCTTTGATCAGTTGTTATAATTTTTCCAATTTATTGGCTTTGAAGGTTTTGATTGTTAATCCCAATAATTAAGTAGATAACTCACGAACTTGATGTTTTATTTTTCTCATCTACTTATAATGGTTGAAGTCAACTGAAATGACGACTAAAATAATATATAATCATTATAAAGGAAAATGTGCATTGATAAAGTTAGTAACCTTAAAATAAATTATATAATTATTATATTTTATGATAATTAAAATATAATAATAGAAACGGTTATGAACACATTCAATTATCATGAATGCTCTTTGATCTCTTCTCTTATCTATAAAATGAACACAAATTCCCCTTTCATATCAGTTTTTCATCAACTAAAGTTCCAAAATACTTGTGCATAATAATTAAATAGAAAAAAGAAGTAAGAAAGAAAATTAAATATTTATCAATGGATCTTTTAATCACATTATGGCTGCACTATCTTTGAATAGTATGTAGCTCTAATTTTTTGTTATTTTTCATTTCCTTAAAATATATTGAATTCAATAATAAATAAATAAATTAACTTTCGCATCGAATTTTCTTACTTATGGAAAGACCATGTTGAATTTACACATATTAGAATTCAATAACATTATATATATATATATGTATATATTTAAACTAACAGTTTATATATATGTACACATTTTTTCATTAATAGTTTATATATGCGTATACATTATTACACTAACAATTTAAATATATATATTATTACACTACAGTCTATATATATGTATATATTATTACATTACAGTTAATATATATGTATATATTA